TTTCGAAAAAAAAAAAAAAAGAAACAGGGTCAGTGTCTTGCTGTTTTATCCAGGCTGAAGTGCAGTGGTGTGATCACAGCTTACTGCAGCCTCAAACTCCTGAGCTCAAGCAATCCTTCTGCCTCTGCACCCTTGTAGCTAACATTATAGGAATGAGCTACAGTGTCCAGTAGAAATCTAATTGAGTAATATCTTCAGTTCATAAAATGAGATAATTATTAATGGTGTGTGTCTACAGGCAAGAGCTTAGGCTTTGACATTTGACAGTACTTCATTGTCCATTTGTAAAACATTTGTAATTATAGGCACTTTTTGATAAGGTTGTTAGGGAAATTAATTGAGACAATGGCAGGGCACAGTGGCTCATGCCTGTAGTCTTAGCACTTTGGGAGGCTGAGATGGATGGATTGCTTGAGCGCAGGAGTTCAAGAGCAGCCTCAGTAAGACCTCAGTAAGACCCCATCTCTAAAAATAGCTGGGTGTTGTGGGTGCCTGTAGTCCCAGCTACTTGGGAGGCTGAGACCAGAATCACTTGAGCCCAGGAGTTTGAGGTTGCTGTAAGCTCTGACTCCATGGCATTCTACCAGGGGCAACATAGTGCGACTATGCCTCAAATAAATAAATAAATGAGATAATGCTTATAAAATACTTTACCTGGTAACTAGTGCCATTAACTATGACCTGAAGTAGGCAGGCCATTACCTGCAACTGTGTAAACACAATAATAATTGCTAATAATCTTTTAGACTTGGAGAGCATAAAAACACCACTCCTAGTTAACATGTACAAAGAACCACAGCAATATTGCTATTCACAAATCTGCACATTATGAAGCCATGAAATTTTATTTATTATTTTTTGCGATAGTGTTTCACTTTGTCGCCTTTGGTAGAGTGCCATGGCGCCATAGCTCACTGCACCTTCAAACTCTTGGGCGTGATTCACTTGTGACAGCCTCCCAAATAGCTGGGACTGCAGGTGCCTGCTACAGTGCCTGGCTGTTTTTAGAGACAAGTCCCGCCCTGTCTCAGTCTGGTCTCAAACCTGTGAGCTCAGGCAATCCACTCGCCTCTGCCTCCCAAGTGCATGTCTGTCTTTTTTTTTTTTTTTGCAGTTTTTTTTGGCTGGGGCTGTATTTGAACCCACCACCTCTGGCATATGGGGCCAGCGCCCTACTCCTTTGAGCCACAGGCGGCGCCCCATGCCTGTCTATTTTTAGAGACAGGGTCTTGCTCTGGCTTAGGCTGGTCTCAAACCCACGAGCTCAGGTGATCCACCTGCCTTGGCCTCCCAAAGTGCTGGGATTATAGGTGTGAACCACCCGGCCGGCCTTACTTAGTTTTGAGACAGAGTCTCACTTTGTTATGCTGGGTAGAGTGCTGTGGTGTCATAGTTCACAGCAACTTCAAACTCTTGTGCTCAAGTGATTTCCTCTTGCTTCAGCCTCCTGAGTAGCTGGGATTATAGGTGCCAGTTTTCTGGGTTTTGTCTTTTAATAAAGATTATAATAAGGCAGAGGACATAATTTTCCTTCAAAGTAGATGACTAACCAGAACAATTTTGTTGATTTATTTTTCTGAATAAATGACCTGCTACATATTCGTAATCCTGTAGCCAAAACCTTTGCACCTCATGATTAACACATTCATATTTTATGTAAATAATGATTGAAAACAGTAATTAGCTTGTAAATTTAGGCTAGTTTTTGCTGCTACATACATTTAGCAAGCTTAATGAGAAACAAGTATTTCAAGGGATTGTGAATCTCTGTATTTCAGTGGAGAAGATGAGAAATGCCAGCTTAGTTTTTTAGATATAACTTAAAGTTTTGGATAACTTAATACTTTGAAAATGTATCAAGTTGCATACCATTTCATCTTGTCCTACAGTGCTGGAGGTGGTGTGCATATTGAGCCCCGGTATAGACAGTTTCCTCAGCTGACCAGGTACCAGGTGGTCCTGGGTGAGGTCTTCAGCGCAGGCATGTGGTTCTGGATTCTCTGGCACTTTTGGCATGACTCAGATGCTGTGTTGGTGAGTGCAAGAGAATAGTTCTTGTCCTTTTTGGGGTAGGGGGAGGGAGGATAAATTAATGGCTTGGCTTACATGTTTTTGTGTTGCAAACTGCTTTTCTGTCTGGATATATTCTTCGCCACCATGTTTTACAAGTATATATTCAGGAATCCTGTTATTTAATGAAACATGTTATTTTCTAACCTTTTTTATGTGAGGATAAACATTTAGGTGGAAGGTTTCTATTAGGTTGCTGTATTTGAAGTGAGACTAGAAACTAGTTCTTTTACCCTCTGAACTATGTATTGATCAGTGGGTGAAGTTTCTTACTTAACTTCCTTTAAATAATGAATGTCCTCTGGTATGTCTGGAGGCCTCCCAGGTTTGGGTGGGATGAATAGGTCTTAGGAAGTTAGTTATTGATGACATTCTAACATGTCATTTTCCTCAACTGGGTTTTTATCACATTTGATGACTGTTCTCTAGGAAATTATACCTTTAGCACATAGAAATCTGCATGTAGATTCAGAATACTCTAAATTTTAGTAAATTTGGATTTGTTTCCAGAATAAAGACCTTAAATTTAAATAGTATACAAGCTTTTCATGCCTCATTTCTCTTAGAACTTCTCTGTGCCCTCGTCCCTCAGAAGGAGCTGCTTAGGTATCTAAACTGGCAGCTTGTGTAATGTTTACAGTGCCACTGTGTCATCGTGGGGCAGTTGACAGGAGTATATAAGGCTATTGGATAGGAGATGATGATACAGCCAGATAGTCCTGAGATCAGGATTAAGGATGATGGTGTCCACCTGAGGCTCCCCAGTCTTACAGCAGTAATGACAAGAGAGCTTGAAACATATATATTTTACCAGGACTTCAAGACATTGCCAAGATTGGGGCACCTTTGAAGCCTTTTGTCTCCATTCCCCCCTGTCCTGAATCACAAACACATGCCCTTGGCTTAGGCTGGTACATCCAAATTGGGAGGCTTTTATAATTCAGGCCATGGACCCTATGAGTAGCTTGCAGAATGATTACCACCAACTAGTCAAAGTAAAATTTGTTCCTTTGAAATTTGTATTTCAAGGGCGTACTAGACAGCTCTATTGTGCTTTTTTTCTTTGCAAGGTTTCTTTTCTTTTCTTTTTTTTTTTTTTTAGAGACAGAGTCTCACTTTATTGCCCTTGGGAGAGTGCTATGGAGTCACAGCTCACAGTAACCTCCAACTCCTGGGCTTAGGCGATTCTCCTGCCTCAGCCACCCAAATAACTGGGACTACAGGTGTCCACCACAATGCCTGGCTATTTTTTGTTGCAGTTTGGCCAGGCGCGGGTTTGAACCTGCCACCCTCAGTTTATGGGGCTGGTGCCCTACTCACTGAGCCACAGGCGCGGCCCCTTTGTAAGGTTTCTTTTAAAATTTAATTAGTTACTGGGCATGGTGGTTCATGCCTGTAATCCCAGCATTGTGGGAGGCTGAGGTGGTAGGATTGCTTGAGCTCAGGAGTTTTGAGACTAGCCTGAGCAAGAGTGATACCAACTCATTAAAAAAAAAGAAGAAAAACTAGGTGGTGCCTGTGGCTCAGTGAGTAGGGTGCTGGCCCCATATACTGAGGGTGGTGGGCTCAAACTCAGCACTGGCTGACTGGCCAAACTGCAACAACCAAAAAAAAAAAAAGTGCCGGGTCCCTTCTACTCGGGAAGCTGAGGCAAGAGAATTGCCTAAGCCCAGGAGTTGGAGGTTGCTGTGAGCAGTGTGACACCACAGCACCAAAAACAAAAAGAAAGAAAGAAAAACCTAGCTGGTTGCTGTGGTGAGCACCTGTAATCTCAGGGGCTTCTGGAGGGTGAGGCAGCAGGATGCCCACAGCTGAGTCTGAGGTTGCAGTGAGCTATGATGCCATTGCTGCATTCTGCTCAGGGAATAGGGTGGAACTCTGTCTGAACAAAAAAAGGAAAAAATGTAACTAGTTGCATGAAATACAAATTTTTGACTTTTTCCCTCTTAAATGGTTGTCACCAGGGTCACTTTCCATATCCAGATCCTTCCAAGTGGACAGATGAAGAATTAGGTATCCTTCCTGATGATGAAGACTAAAAGTGTAGACTCAACTCTTTGCAAGTAGGTATGCCCAGAGTGTTGTTAAGTTATATTTTGCTTTTATCATAAACATCTATGTGTACTTTGTACCCATTATGATCTAAAACTGCATATTGGAACAGCATGGAGCACAGTTAATCACATGTCATGTATCCTTTTTCCTAAGTTAGTTTATAATTTTAGGGTCCCATTTATCCATCCATTAAGCAAAGACATATTAAGACCTGTTCTGGGTGGCGCCTGTGGCTCAGTGAGTGGGTGCCAGCCCCAGCCAAACTGCAACAAAAAAATAGCCGGGCATTGTGGCAGTCGCCTGTAGTCCTAGCTACTTGGGAGCCTGAGGCAAGAGTCACCTAAGCCGAGGAGTTGGAGATTGCCGTGAGCTGTGTGATGCCACTGCACTCTACTGAGGGTGATAAAGTGAGACTCCATCTCTACAAAAGAAAAAAAAGAGACTTGTTCTGTGTCAGACGTTGGAATACAGTAGTGAACAAGATAGATAGGAAACTTGTAGTGTGTAATTGCAAAAATGTGTGTCCTACCCCCAGTGTTTAAATGGAAAGACCCCAGTATATAGGAGTACTACTATATGGAACGGCATGGAAATTATATCTTTAAACAGTGAAGGGTTATGGCGCTTTTATTTTCTAGGTCAGGCTGTCCCCATATACCGAGGGTGGCGGGTTCGAACCCAGCCCCAGCTAAACTGCAACAAAAAATAGCTGGGTGTTGTGGCGAGTGCCTGTAGTCCCAGCTACTCGGGAGGCTGAGGTAAGAGAATTGCCTAAGCCCAAGAGCTGGAGGTTGCTATGAGCTATGATGCCACAGCACTCCACTGAGGGCGACAAAGTGAGACTCCGTCTCTAAAAAAAAAAGAAAAAAAAAGGCAAGTACCAGGAGGATTCCAGGATTCCCTTTCCCCACAAAATGCTCAGGGGTTAAGACATTCTCCTTTAAAATGTTTTTTTTTTGCAGTTTTTGGCTGGGGCTGGTTTTGACCCCGCCACCTTCAGCATATGGGGCTGGCGCCTTACTCCTTTGAGCCACAGGCACCGCTCTTTAAAATGTTTTCTTGTGGCACAATCTCTGTAGCCCAAGATGGAGTCTAGTGGCATGATCATAGCTCACTGTAACCTCAAACTTCTAGGCTCATGGATCTTCTTGGCTCAGTGCCCTGAGTATCTAGGACTATAGGCTTGTACTACCATGTACAGCTGGCTGATTTTCCTTTTTAATTTTTTGTAGAGATGGGTCTCACTATGCTGCCCAGGCTAGTCTCCAGCTCCTGCCCTCAAGTGATCCTCTTGCCTCAGCCTCCCAAAGTGCTAGAATTACAGGAGTAATTACACCACCCCTGGCAATAATGTGTTTCTAAAATAATCATTGCACTTGAATAAATACCATGATTCAAAATGCCTTGCATTATGTGATAGTTAAGTATTCTTAAATCACACTATTATTACTGCCATTATAATTTTAATTATTAGTAGCATGAAAATTACAGCAGTTCTTGAGGTTGGTAGGGAGGTGGGTCAGAATGTCAGCAAATGGCAGGCAGTTAGCTGTTATGTGGTTTATTTTGTTGTTAGCTTTGTGTAGGACAGTCAGAAGTCTTGGTCCTTACCTGGCCTTCTGTTCTCTTGATGATAACCTGTCTGCCAACACTAATCTCTTCCTGTCTTCCTACAGACTTTCCTGTAATTCCCACACATAAGTGTTATTTTGTTTTAATGCCTGGACTGTAAATCTTTTGATAAAAGGGTGGTTTTGTTCCTCTCCTTTACAAGGCTTCTCTCATAAATGCTTGAATAATAAGTAAGAATTATAGATTTGAATTAGTGAATAGAAAAGTACTTAAAGCTTTCTGTTTTGTTTTCCTGCAGAAGCCAGATGAAAATTTCAAGATACTACAGACTTCGTGTTATACATTAAAGTTGCAAATTAAAGTGGTTTGGTCAAGAATGAGGAATGGCGTTATGATCTTTTGATAATGACAACTGCCGTATGGATTTCTTTTCTTTTTTTCCTTTTGCTTCACCAGCTGTGCTAAGTGGTTTCCAGAGCCTTTCAGCTGATGCTCGCAGGTACTCTGGACTTACTTACATAGGCATTAGTTCCATTTATCAATGAGAACATAGAAGCTCAAGGAGATGAAATTACTTGCTTAGCATAACACACTGGTAAACGGTGAGGTTAGGATCACAAAGGTCATGCTTACCTACAGTGCTGTACACCTCCTCCTTAGCTAATATCATGCTGACAGTTAATGTGAAAAAAAATTTTTTTTTTTGAGACAGAGGCTCATTATGTCACCCTCAGTAGAGTGCTGTAGTGTCACAGCTCACAGCAATCTCAAACTCTTGGGCTTAAGCGATTCTATTGCCTTAACCTCTCAAGTAGCTGGGACTACAGGTGCCCACCACAATGCCTGGCTATTTTTCTTGTTGCATTTGTCATTGTTGTTTTAGCTGGTCCAGGCTGGGTTTGAACCGGCCAGCCTCCGTGTATGTGGCCAGTGCCCTACCCTCTGAGCTATGGGTGCCACCCTCCAGCTACAAACTTAGTATCATGGAGTCAACATGTGTTTCTATCCAAATCTCATTATAACCATCATGATAACAAAGTTACAGACACATAATTATCTATTAAAAATTGTGTTTTATATACACACACACATACACATATATATATATAATGCATAGTACTGATTTTGAGTCCTGGCTATATCAAGCCTAGGTGAGTCATATCCTTCAGGGCTTCATGTTCTATAACAGATGTGAGGGGAACTGGATGACATTATCTTTGAGAACTCTTTCTTCCTTAACATTTTATGAGTCTATAACTGTGTAACTCAGGTCTAATTATCACAGCCCCTGATAAAACAAAATTTCAGAAGAGCGAGTATGGAAGAGTTCTGCATAATAGAATTTCATGATAAACTAAAGTATCCATAATTCTGGGCTAACTCTTGAGAACATCTTATAATCTTTTTTTTTTTTTTTTTTT